CCATATGAAAACATTCTCATATGATTCAACCTGAATTTTACATCCATGAGTGTAACTTCCTGTTCTCCTTCTAGCCTCCAGGACTTGAGAAGATGAACGTCTGTTGTTTAAGCCACCCAACCTGTGGTGTGTTGCTATGGCAGCCTAGGCAGAGGGCTCTCAGGGGGCTCGTAGGTTGGTAATGCTGAGTGATTAGTTGTCTGAGATAGGATAGCTGGGGGCCGTGGAAGCTCGGAAAAAAGTCTTCTGAGACTTGAGATGCAGGGGTGGGGGAGGGCCAAGGAAGATGACATCTATGCTAAATGTGTTGGAGGAGGGGAAAAAATGAGGCAGAGGAAGAGGGAAGAGATGGGTGTGGTGAGCCCTGGAGCAGCCCAGTGAAGGCTCAGGAAACTATCAGGATAAGCGGCGCTTTGTAACTAGACAAGAGCAAGAAGCACAACGTGAAGACGAAGTTCTAGCAAGCTCTCTGGAGAATGAAGGGATGCAATGAAGGCAGAACACTGCTAACTTGAAAGAAAAAGTCACAGGACTTCACGGTGGTCCAGCAGTGAAGACTCCACACTCCCCAGGCAGGGACCCAGGTTCAATTCCTGCTCAGGGAACCAGGTCCTGCCAGCCTCAACTGAGAGCCAGCACAGCCAAATTAAGAAAAAATATTTATAAATAAAAATCTAATGAAAGAGATGTAGGGTGATCAGAGAGACCCCACCCATAGTCCAGAGGTTTGCGCTTTGTCAGGACAGGATCTGACAGCCAACAACCTCCTCCTCCTGGTCCCTGCCCTTCATCGCCTGAGCCCGCTGCAAGTTCCCTCCGTGTACAAGCTCCTGTCACCTGTCTGTCCCTCTCACCTTCTCTAGTCTCACTGGTCCAGTTCACAGCCAGGCTTCTTGTAAAAGTGAACCACATTCACTCCATTTTCTCCTCTCATCAACTCACCAGCGCCCATCTCCTCTCGCTGAGATTGTTGACGGCTCTTCACCCTAAAGTGGAGCTTGCATCTTGGCCCTATACCTGACTGATTTTGACCCTAGTGGGATCTGACCCTATGGATCGCTCCCTCCTTCTGGAAACCTTTGACACCTCAACTGAACACCTCTCTGGCCCGTAAGCCTCTTACGGGGAGAGTCTGTACATGACTCGGTCACTGATGAGGCACCCACTGCCCAGGACGGTGCCTGGTCTGAAACAAGCATCTGACAACTGTCCCATAGATGGTCCCTTAGCTCTTTGACACCTCTCCATTCCAGTTCTACACCTGTTTCTCTGATCACCCATTTCCAGCTTCCTTCCCTGAGTCCTCTAGCTTCGTCATGTGGGATCTTCCCTCATGGCGAGTGAGCTCAGTTGCCCTGCAGCATGTGGGATCTTAGTTCCTCGACCAGAGATTGAACCCGCGTCCCCTGCATTGCAAGGCAAATTCCTAACCACTGGACCACCAGGGAAGTCCCCACCGAGTCCTCTTCATCCATCCATCCTTCAGTGTTGCTCATCCCCCCAACTCTCTCCTTTGTCCTACTCTTATGCTGCCTTTGGGTCACTTCATCCCTCACCACCGAGGAATTCTCTTGACAGCTGCATCTCCAGACCCTAATTCTCTTTTGAGCCACAGACCTAGAGGCCTTCCTGTCACCTGGACAACCATCTCCTAGTAGGTTGTGAGCACACCCGGGTCCACATGCTCATACGGATCTCAACTTCTTTGCCCCCAAGCCTGCTTCTCCCCCTGCTCTCCCTTGCCAGGCACTCCCCTCGACCCAGTTACACATTCCAGATGCCTGCTGCACTCCCACCAGTCTGGTCCTGACAATCCTGCCTCCTTACAGTTCTCATCCATCTTCCCCATCCCTGTTCATTTCATCCCACGAATACTGTCCTAGCTCCGGCTCTCGCCGTCTCTCATCTGGTCTAAAGCAAGGACTCTGGATGACTTTTGTGTCTGCCTTGCAACTCCTTCTGCACCCCCCTGCCACCTGTCACAGTGTCATCTCCCCAAAGTGGGAATCAGCTGAAACTCTCAGATCCTCTCTATCCTGCAGTTTAAATTTGAGTTCTATAGCATTACAAGCAAGAATGCTAATGGTACTTTGCTTCTGATGGGATCAGCTTGTGCTTCCAGAGCTTGAGCCAGAATTTGTCCAGGGGCCTGAAGTGTAGACAGGCTAGATTTTCATTCTTCCAAGGGGGAGGGAGAGACCGTAAGTATTGATACATTCTAGAAACACTGCTCAATGCCCTGGCACTCTGATCTTTATCCAGCACGTTTCATGAAGGTGGGTTCCATCTCGATGTATCTCCCGAGAAGGTGCTGAGAAAATCACAGAAATTATCTGCCAGGGCAGAGACTAGAGTAAGCCCCAGGTGAGGCACAAAATGTTAAGAAGGCCCTTACCCTTGGATCGTGCAAGGCCCTATTCATTCATTCAGTCAGCCATTTATTTTTCACTCCTGCTCTGCCACTTGTGGGATCTTAGTTCCCTGACCAGGGATCGAACCTGCACCCTTGGCAGTGGAAGGAGTGGTAACCACTGGACCGCCAGGGAATTCCCGAGGGTCTCTTTAAATTTTGCATCACTGGCGCCTTGCTAGCCTCACCCTCACCATGTGCCTGTGTTCACATTGCTTCTTATGTTATTAGTATGAACCCTGAAAAGCAGCCTGGCTACAAGTTACCAGCAGTTTATCAGTTTAGAGTCTGGCTAAAATTAAGTGAGCCCTTGAAAAATTTGGGCTACATAAAAACAAAACACCTGGGTGGGTTCACCATTTTGGAAAGCAATTCTGCCAATTATACTGGAACTTTAAATGTTTCTATGCCATTTGATCTAATATACTTCCAGGAGTCTATCCTAATTAAATAATCATGCACATAAGCAATGACCTTATATGCGAAGATATCCAGACAGAATATTTATAATAACATAGAGAAAGCAATTAAATACTGTAAGCAGAGGAAGATACTTAAGCAGTTATAATTATTATTGTGCTTTATAGTGTGTTCATTCAAATGATAACACTATATACTTCAAATAAGAAAATATGCAGATAAAATCACATTAAATGCAATAAGGTTATAAAACTATATGCACAGAAAGATCCCAGACTAGTTAATATTCAATACATGCTTATAAAAAAAACAGAAGAAAATACACAAAAATGTTAACAAGGTTATTTCTAGGTTTGGGGGATTATGGGTGATTTTTATGCATTGAAAAAATTTTTTTCCTATGGTTTTTAAAATAATGTGTCTTTTATAACAAAAATAAAAGTTCCTTTAAGTAATTTTTGAAAGAACATTTATTTCGCTTTCAGGACTCACTTTGTCACGGTGTGTGTGTGTGAGATCAGTCATGTCTCACCCTTTGTGACCCTACGGACTGTAGCCCACCAGACTCCTCTGTCCATGGGATTTTCCAGGCAAGAATACAGGAGTGGATCGCCATTTCCTTCTCCGGGGGATCTTCCTGAACCAGGGATCCACCCCGAGTCCTTGCATCTCCTGCATTGGCAGGCAGACTCTTTACCACTAGTGAGACACTGGTCTTCCTAATAAGTCACCCCTCTAACTCTGGCTTGGGAGAGAAGCTGAGAAGTTTTTGGTGACAACCAATAGGATTTGTTGCTGTCATCTGTAATCCTCGAGAGCACGGTTGGTTCAGATCGTCTCTATGGCGGCCCCGCTCCACAAATTCCAGTTTGCCCAGCAGCTTCTGACTCGGACGGTGATAGGACAGGTGTGTTGTGCACAGCCGTCCCTGTCTGCCCTGGGCTCACCACGACCAATGGACATTTCAACTCCTTAACTTTGCTATGTTGCGAAAACTGCCTGAAACAAGGGCCGTGAGCCAGAGCTGGCTGTTCAGAAGCCCGGGTGTGAAGGGCTCTCTCAAACCCAGAGTGGGTCACTGAGGAGTCAGACACCCAGCCCTCCCACGAGCCCCAGACGCCAAGAAGCTGGATTTCCTTTCATAGTCATTGATCTTGCTTTTTTAAAAAAGTTTTTGGCTGCACCTTGTGGCACGTGGGATCTTAGTGCTCTGGCCGGGGATTGAGCCCACACCCCTGGGCAGGAGGGAAGAAGGCTTAGCCACTGGACCAAGAAAGTCCCAAGTTAACCGATACTGCTGACCTCTGTCCATCTTACACTCGGAGATGAAGAAAGCTAAAGTTCAATTTGAACTCAGGCTGATAAAGAAACTAGAATCAAGAATGTCCTTCCTGCCTCCATCTCTTCATCAGTAAAGAGAGGGCTGGTTTGGGGGTGGGGAGCGGGGTCTCCAAATATCCTATTTTATTGATGCGTATCAGGCAAGCAGGTGTGCATGCGTGCCCTTCCATCACCAGCGCTGTCAGAGCCGCCCTGGTGAAGCTGTTGCTAAAGGATCGGCCTGTTTCTGTCTGAGCTCCTTCCGCGGGCTGGCACAGCCAGGGGGCACGTACCTTGCTGGCAACCATCAGCAGCTGGTCCTTAGGCTGGTCCACTTCTGTGGACCAGTAGGGACAATCTAATGACACTCCGGGCCATGTAGCTTGAAGAAAGCTGTTTTGTTCTCTTTTAAAAGATTGTAAAAGGGACCTACACATCTAGCAGAAATAATTAGAACTCACAGAATCATTCTCACTAATTAGAGGTCCCATCAGTCATTTGAGAATTCCCAGATCTGCTCCAACCTAGGATGCAAACATCAAATAATTGCCCTTATTATTTTTAACGTGCATATATGCTTTTTTTTCCCCAGAATCTTTCACCCAGGACAATTCCTAAGAGATTGAAGAATATGCAATGATAGCACTGTATCAGATCTAAGCATCATCTAAAAAGAAAACGTAATTCTAACCTCGTAAAAGGAGGAGGGGAGGAAAGCAGGAGAACAGAGGGAAAATGAGCAAGCATCCACAGGAAACACCACATACTGGAAACGATTCCACAGTGAAGCCAGATGCTCACTGAACACACCGTCTCCTGCTAAGTCCTCGGTGCTGAAGTGTCCGCTCACCTGCCCTTTTTCGACATCTCCTGTGTGTCTCTTTTCCGCCAGAGCACTCTGCTTTCAGTAGGCAAAACCCACGCCCACCACAAAAAGAAAACGCCAACTTTCATATTCTGGACAGCCAACACAGGTTTCCAAATCCAAACAGTTCTCTGAAGAAACAGCGAAAAAAAAAAAGGAAAAGGCAAAGGATGTTCTTTTTCTCTCTTAAGACATTATCAGTCCGTTCATTATTAGAAAGATGTTTATTCACGGAAAAAAAAATCAACCTCCGGTCTGTAATCTGGAGAGCAGGAGAAAGCAATTTCCACTAAACCTATAAATCCTCCTACGTCAGATGTCAGGGATTTTCTGCAGAGAGGTTGAAGTCCTGTGTCCCTGGCTGACAATCATTCTGGCTGGTCTAAATAAGTTCATCGTCAGACCTGGTGAATTCCTTCGTAAAGGTCTGTATGAATTTCTGGTCCAACGAATAGAAGGAAGTAAGGAGGAAGCAGAACAATCTCCAAACCCAGAACTGCCTGAGGTGCTGAACTGCTTCTTATGCCCCGAAAATGAGCTCCTCCCTGGGTCTATTTTAAGCTTTTAGCCATTATTATTTGCTTCAGCTGAGGGCTGGATTTGGACAGCTCCCCACCCCAACTCCTTTCTGGGGTTGAATCTGTGGAAACTCAGTGATCTGTAACTGGGCAAGTTGTCTGTTTGGCTAACACGTCAGTAGAAGGCTAATCCTCGTCTGGTGGACCCTCCAGGAATCTTCTCATCCTCCATGGATGTGGTTTTTATTGTCTGTTTGGTTTGTTTGTTTTGCTTTGATGTGGAGGATAGTAAATGCTTTCTTTTTCTGTATTTTTTCTTTATACTGGAGTCTAATACAGTTTTGTATTAGTTTCAGGTGTATAGCAAAGTGATTTAGTTATACATACACAATATCTGGGGAGAAGGCAGTGGCACCCCACTCCAGTACTCTTGCCTGGCAAATCCCATGGATGGAGGAGCCTGGTAGGCTACAGTCCATGGGGTTGCTAAGAGTCGGACACGACTGAGCATCTTCACTTCAATTTTTCACTTTCATGCTTTGGAGAAGGAAATGGCAACCCACTCCAGTGTTCTTGCCTGGAGACTCCCAGGGATGGGGGAGCCTGGTGAACTGCCGTCTATGGGGTCGCACAGAGTCGGACACAACTAAAGTGACTTAGCAGCAGCAGCAGGATACAATATCTGGACTTCCAAGGTGGCACAGTGGTAAAGAATCTGCCTGCCAATACAGGAGGTGCAAGAGATGCCGGTTCCATCCCTGGGTCAGGAAGATCCCCTGGATCAGGAAACGGCAACCCCCTCCAGTATTGTTGGCTGGAAAATTCCATGGACAGAGGAGCCTGGCAGGCTATAGTCCATGGGGTTGCAAAGAGTCAGACACCACTGAGCACACACACATGCATATATCTAATCCTTTTCGTATTCTTTTCCCATATGGATTATTGCAGGGCATTGAGTGGAGCTCACTGTCCTACACACTAGGTCCTTATTGGTTATCTATTTTATATGCAGTGGGGTGTATGTGTTAATCCCAGACTCCTAATTCATCCCTCCCCACCTCACTACGAACAAGGCTAGTGGAGGTGATGGGATTCCAGTTGAGCTATTTCAAATCCTAAAAGATGATGCTGTCAAAGTGCTGCACTCAATATGCCAGCAAATATGGAAAACTATGCAGTGGCCACAGGATTGGAAAAGGTCAGTTTTCATTCCAATCTCTAAGAAAGGCAATGCCAAAGAATGCTCAGACTACCACACAACTGAACTCATCTCACACGCTAGCAAAGTAATGCTCAAAATTCTCCAAGCCAGGCTTCAGCAATACATGAATCATGAACTTCCAGATGTTCAAGCTGGTTTTAGAAAAGACAGAGGAACCAGAGATCAAATTGCCAACCTCTGCTGGATCATTGAAAAAGCGAGAGAGTTCCAGAAAAACATATATTTCTGCTTTCCTGACTATGCCAAAGCCTTTGACTGTGTGGATCACAATAAACTGTGGAAAATTCTGAAAGAGATAGGAATATCAGACCACCTGACCTGCCTCTTGAGAAACCTGTATGCAGGTCAGGAAGCAACAGTTAGAACTGGCCATGGAACAGCAGACTGATTCCAAATAGGAAAAGGAGTACGTCAAGGCTATATATTGTCACCCTGCTTATTTAACTTATATGCAGAGTACATCATGAGAAACGCTGGGCTGGATGAAGCACAAGCTGGAATCAAGATTGCCAGGAGAAATATCAATAACTTCAGATATGCAGATGACACCACCCTTATGGCAGAAAGGGAAGAAGAACTAAAGAGTCTCTTGATGAAAGTGAAAGAGGAGAGTGAAAAAGTTGGCTTAAAGCTCAACATTCAGAAAACTAAGATCATGGCATCCAGTCCCATCACTTCATGGCAAATAGATGAAGAAACAGTGGAAACAGTGGCAGACTTTATTTTTGGGGGCTCCAAAATCACTGCAGATGGTGATTGCAGCCATGAAATTAAAAGATGCTTACTCCTTGGAAGAAAAGTTATGACCAACCTAGACAGTGTGTTAAAAAACAGAGACATTACTTTACCAACAAAGGTCCATCTAGTGAAGGACCTTCTATGGTTTTTCCAGTAGTCATGTGTGGATGTGAGTTGGACTATAAAGAAAGCTGAGTGCCGAAGAATTGATACTTTTGAACTGTGGTGTTGGAGAAGACTCTTGAGTCCCTTGGACTGCAAGGAGATCCAACCAGTCCATCCTAAAGGAAATCAGTCCTGAATATTCATTGGAAGGACTGATGTTGAAGCTGAAACTCCAATACTTTGGCCACCTGATGCAAAGAGCTGACTCATTTGAAAAGACCCTGATGCTGGGAAAGATCAAAGTCAGGAGGAGAAGGGGACGACAGTGGACTCAATGGACATGAGTTTGAGTAAACTCCAGGAGTTGGTGATGGACAGGGGGGCCTGATGTGCTGCAGTCCATAGGGTCTCAAAGAGTCGGACACGACTGAGCAACTGAAGTGAACTGAACTGAACCTTGCCTTTTGCTTTTGGTGACTGTAAGTTTGTTTGCTAGATCTTTTAGTCAATTTTCCTTTGTATAAGTTCATTTGGATCATTTTTTTCACATATCACTTATATGTGATATCACATGATATTTATCTTTCTCTGTCTGACTTCATGTGGTATGATAATCTCTAGGTCCATTTGTGTTGCTACAAATGGCATCATTTCTTTCTTTTTTAGGGCTGAGTGGTTTTCCATTGTATATATGTACCACATGTTTATCTATTCATCTGTCAAAGGACATTTAGATTGCTTCCATGTCTTGGCTATTGTAAATGCTGCAATGAACATTTGGATGCATGTAACTTTTTGAAGTATGGTTTGCTCCAGATATACACCTAAGAATGGGATTGCTGGATCATATGGTAGCTCTATTTTCAGTTTTTTAAGGAACCTCCAAACTGTTCTCTATAGTGGGTGTAACAATTTACATTCCCACCAACCGTGGAGGAGTGTTGATTTTCTTTATGCTATTTTACAACCCTGTGAAAGGTAGATATTAACATGTAGAGAACTAATAGTAATACATATCTTTCCTGTCCATAGCTATGCAAATTATTCCTCTTGTCCACTAGAGAATATAAATCTCTGAAAAGCAAATCCTCATGTGAACCAGTTATAGCATGTTCCCTCACTAATTAATGAGTTAAGCAAATTCTTTCACATGTGTTCATTTTATGGTTATGTGAGTCATGATTAAATCCTCTTGTGTAAATCAGAATAAAGCACTTTCAATAAATACATATTGGAAACAGTTCAACACACAGAAAGAAAGGCAGAATATGTGATGTCTCCGGAAGTCAATATAAGCCAAGCATCATTAGACACTTAGTTGATGTGTGTGTGTGTGTGTGTGTGTGTGTATGCGCGCACGCGTGCGCATCTGTGCTCAGGCATTTCGGACTCTTTGTGATCCCCCATGGACTGTAGCCAGGCTCCTCTGTCCATGGGATTTCCCAGGCAAGAATACTGGAGTGGGCTGCATTTCCTGATGCAGATGATCTTCTTGACCCAGGGATTGAACCCAAGTCTCCTGTCTCCAGCATTGGCAGGTGGATTCTTTACCACTGAGCCACCTACAAAGCCAATAGTGACTTACTGAAGAATCAAAGTAGCAAAGAGGGGTGACTCTGGGGTTGAGTATATTAAAAATGTCTCCAGGCCAAGAAGGCACTGAGGGGGACATTAAATGGTTTTTTGATGCCCAGATGAGAAAATCTCTTTCTTTCTTGTTTGGAGAACCCCAGACTAGCTCCAGCAGCCAGGAGCCTGGACATAACCACAGAGAACAAATCTGGATGGCCTCACAGGTGTATTTCCTACCTTTCCTCAGTAGCTTTGCAGAGAGCTGGCTCAGCAGATCTGAGTTAGCTCAGTGGAAGCACAGGCTGATGACCAGGTGCTGAGCTTTCCCAACAGGGCCACTTCTTCCTTCACCAGGCAGCTCCCAGGGCAGAGCCGGATGGCAGGGGCCCTTCCTGGAGCCATCTGGCCCCAGTCAACCATGCCCAACACAGCTCAGGGGGGTCAGGAGAGCTCAGAAAACTGTGTGATCTTTGCTACTTTCCTGCTTGTCAGTGCTCTTGATGAATGTTGTGGGTTTTTTTTTTTTTCCCATTAACACCACATGACTCCATTGCAGAGTGTCTGTGCCCCTCTGCAAGACATGGACATGGGAAGGAATTGACAAGACATCTGAAGATAAACAAATAAGACAGAAAAGTAAAAATTCAGAGGCAAGTAACCTAGACTGATGGGGATGTCTGCTGCATATGATGGTCTTTTGTGTCTTGTTGCCCTTTCTTAGTGTGTGGCCCTTAGATGCACAAAGTTGGGTGGACACTAAGACTGTGGTCCAGGCCAGTGAGAGAGGCAAGGAGAAGAAATGAAAGGCAAGCAATTTCACAAGTGACACAAGAGCTGTAGTCATCACTTTTATTCACATCCCACTGGCAAGAACTTGGCCACGTAGCCACTCCTAGCTGTGAAGAGTCTGAGAAATGCAGTCTCTAGCTGACTC